TATATAACTAACCTGCATTCCATCCTTCCCCTTCCCCCAGATGGAATTGACCAATGACCTCAAAGTGTTGCTGCCCGTAATGACCGCTGTGATGGTGGCCAAGTGGGTCGGAGACTTCTTCACACATGCGTTCTTTCATGCCTTGCTCGAGCTTAAGTGTATCCCATTCCTTAACCAGCAGCCCAATGTACGCATTGACAAAAGGAAGTAAGTCTTGTCCACTGGAGAAAGTAGGCCCTATCCCTGTAGAAAGTAGGTCATATCCTGATGGATAATGAGGTAAAGTGGAATGTTGCTAGAAGCGCATTAATTAAGCATTGCAAATTACAGAAATGCGCTATATAAATTGCATGTATTATTTGTTTTTTAAATTTGTATTTCCATGCATTATTAAAGTAAGTCACATCCTGATAGATAATGAGGGATGTTCCAAGAAGTGTAGGTTGTACCCACCTCTTAAAATAGATCATGTTCACAAAAGAACAGAGAGCTTTCCCATAAAGGAAGGAGATTGTATTCATTAAGAAAGTAAACTTCATTCTCAAGAAATGAGAGGGCATATCCTTAAAGAAAGTAAGTATGTCTCAAAGTTTGTCATATTTGCAAAGAAAGTAGGTCACCTTCACAGCTCAAAGTTCTTCTTACCTCTACTAGATAAAGTTCATCACACATAGCAGACCAAGTAATTCACATCTAAGAAAGGAAATACAGTCAAACCTGCACTAATGGCCACCTGTCCAAAACAATCGCCAGATCCTGTCTTCCACCATTCAGAATGCACAAGACAGGATCAGGCTGTGTCTCTAGTAGTGTGCTCACTCTGAACAATAATAGGCAGGAGAATACATTTTGAATACCGGTACTGACATACAGCCAAATCTTTCTCGTTTCAGTGTCAAGCTTGAGCTGTTTTCTGCCGGGGACATTATGGCTTTCCCTGTGGTCACCTTTGACCTGGTGGAGCAAGTGTCCACTCTGGCACAGACTTTGCTGGACACAGAGCATAATGGGTTCCCTGTTCTTGCCACCACAAAAGAAGGGAAGAAAGTTTTTCACGGGCTCATCACAAGGTATGGTCTGGAGGCACCACTTCCTGATCTGTTCAGTTAGGCTAGAATAGTCAGCATTTACCTCTAGTGTCTACTTACTTTTACTTTTTACTTTTTCATCCTTTGTTGCTGTTAAGCTTCGAGGGGAGATGCAGTTTCTATGGTAGGCCAGCTCCGCAGCTCTTTCAGTTGTGATGTTATTCCTGAGATAATTGTAGATAATTGTAAACGTTTTACGCCCCTTCAGCACCACTTAGAATGTTTGGGAGGCAGGTTACTTAAACCCTGCCTTTCAGGGCCGAACCGGGATGAGTAAGGTACAATTTTTCAGCATCTTCACTCAGGAATCAAACTCTTATCTTCTGCATTCATCAATAAATAGCATAACCCCTACACCTCCTTGCGTTACATCAGTACATGACATGAAGCAATACTGGCTTCTGTTGTGTAGCAGTTAGGCACTTCATTATCAGTAGCAGCAGACCCGAGTTTGATTCCCATGTGGGGCAAATTTCTGTCAAGTTTCTTGGTCTTCCAGCTGGGATAGTGTATCCCTCTCAGCCCGAGCTAGCCCTATACAGGCAGGTTTGAAAGCCGCTTCCTAAATAATGTAAATTGTTTTGATTGGGGGATGGAGTATGATTACATGAATAAATAGGTGGGTGGTTGGCGGGTGCTCTGGTGTGGTTTGCTTCTTCTTTCCTACCAAACGTCTATCGTTTTTATTTCCCCTCCTTTTTTGTGTTTGTTACTCTCTTGAAACACCTCTAATCTTCTACATTTATATGACCTTGTGTTGCAAGTTGCGTAAAACACTTACTTAAACAAAAACTGAATAAATATCCCCTCTTGGCTTCACCTAAAGTATTAATGAAATGCTACTCCTGTATTTGTCACCTCTATTCATTTCCTCTTCTTTACAGGTCAGAGTTACTGGTGATATTAAACAATCCTGATGTGTTCCAACGAGAGAGAACAGAGCCTGTGGAGGAGCCTGACCTAGATATTGTTCCAATCGGCTACGACACAGTGAGTGCAATATGTATACCACGTAGTGGAGCCAGGCACTTGTTAGTTTTTGGGCATGTGGAGTTATGGGTATAACCTTAAGGCTTGTTAAGTACAATCTGTTTTGAATAGAAGTCAAGATATTTACTATTGAAAGAGATAGGAGTCGCCTGGTGTCAGAAGTAAATTTAGTGAGAAAATAGCCGACAAGTTTGACGACTTTCAAAGCTAATTTACACTTTTTTTTGTGTGTGCCTTTGATCAACGTTTTTCTGTAAAATCCACATGTGTTTTTAAATGGACGTAGAAGATATTGAGCCAAAAAAAATTATAGATAAAAATTGCCCAACAAGCGGGAAAAATACTGGTTACTTCAATTTTATTATTTTGACAAGCCCATGATTTCACCGTGATGACTCACAAATGAAATAGTGCTAAATGGTTCAGTGATGCAGTGAGAACATTATAAAACAATCAACGCATTATGGCAAGTGAGTACATCATTGTACAGTCATTGCATTATGACACAGTGTGTACCCTCCGGACACTGGTAAAGACGGTACATTATGGTATATATGGTCGCTGTTAAGGACAAGCGGGCTAACCCAGATGTCGGGGATTTCCAGAAACCTGGACCTACACCAAAAATGGGCATTGCCCTACCTATAGGAGAAGTTTGGTTTCATTGGTGTGTATATTTGTTTGGTTATAGAGAAAACTCTCCTTTTCTTTTAAAGAAACTGAACAAGGGGCAAAAACTTTACCTTTGATTTTCTCAAAACAGCATTTTTCAGGATAGCCCCCTTGTGCTTAAAAGCGACCATATAATATGTTTATGGCAGTGAGTGCAGTATAGTATTTTGATACCATGAATATTGGATAGCCTACTCAATAAAAATTTTCTCACCACTTGGGAATTGAACTGGGCTCTCTTGCATACAACAGCAAAGAGCCTAACAGCTACACCACAGATCATGCCTGTCTGTGTACGGTACGTTATGATATACTGGATTCATTGTGATGCAGTGAGTACTTTATGAACATCAATCACTACGCAATGAATTACAGTAGTTAATGTGGGTGTTTGGGGAGTGCTCTGGTGTGGTTTGCTTCTTCTTCTTTCCTATGAAACATCTATCGTCCTTATCTCCCCTTCTTCTTTTTTATGTTTGATACAGTGGAACTCGAATTCAACGAGGTCGCCGGGCCTGACCTAAAATCTTGTTGAATCCGAGTGTTCGTTATAGCAAACAGGAGATTTTGTGTAGACAATTACAGGCACTGAGCAAGTAATGTGTAAAGAGAAGTCAAAGCAATGCCTAAAATGCCTGCTTATTATGAGCTGTGTAAAAAAAAAGAGATTCATTTGAATGCACACGCCTGTGTCATCTCGATTGTTTACCAAAAAGTTGTGCATCTCTGTAGAACCTAGCATACAGCCACTTTTGATTCCATAGACCAGCGCACAATTCCTTACGGAGATCTACGTCAAGACTAGCTTATCATTGTAATAATGATCAGTTGCCGAGGGGGAAAAAAGACAGACGCGTTTTGTATCTGCGACGTTCAACGCCCGGACCGCTAGTGCCCCCCCCCCCCTTCCCCGACACGTACACACAGTCACACATGTGCCGGCCGCCCATCCGACCCCGACACATGCTAGAGTAGGCGCGTGCTAACAACGCATGTGTTGGTTTGTAAAAAAAAGGCTGCCGATTGGTCGCATGCAATCGGCTAAGTGAATAATGGTTTACGATGCAGGTGCACTGGATGGTTTCCGGGAATAGATAAAGTTTGTTCTGGCAGAAAGATGAGCGAAGCCACGTCTGCGGGGGCTGTTCACCCTGGAAGCGACCTCGTTGAATCCGAGCTGGCTGATTTAAGAACTCGTTGAATCCGGGTTATTTTTATTGATTTTAAAGAAGAAGAAAAAGGGGGAATCTATCTCATCTTGTTGAATCTGAGTTCTCGTTGAATCCAAGCTCGTTGAATCCGAGTTCCACTGTACACCATACCACATTCATGTACCGGTAACAGTCTTACAGATACAGTCGGGCACGGATAACTCAAACACGATAGTGGTTGATTGACAGATATGTTTGACACAGCCATAATTCGGGTTAAATGATATACTTATAAGGAAAATTAAAGAGATATCAGTTGGGGAAGTGACAAATTGTATGAGCTATCTGTGATAGCAAGTTTCTGTGTTCATATTATCTGTACCTGACTGTATGTCTTTTTTTTTGCCCCCACATATTGTCCTACGGCACCTGTCACTTTTTCATTTCAGTCCCAATTTTTCATTGCAATGTCCAGCAAATAGCCCCATATAACATCTAGAGAAATATGCCACGACCCCCTATTTTTTTAAATCATCCCAGCTGCTGAGAGGTGTGAAGAAAGATGAAGGCACTATCCGCAAGTTCCTGTCAGAGTTTGTGGATGCAAAGTCAAAGGTCAAGGATCGTTACATTGACCTGGTGAGATGTGGTGGAGTTCTGGCTCCTTTTAGTTTTTAAGTTGTTGAGTCTCTGTTTGTCTGCCCATATTTGTACGTTTGTCTTTGTGCAAGTATGTATGTATGTTAAGTGTATGAATGAGCATGTAGTATGTGGGTGTGTGGGCGAGAGGTATAGGGCATGTGTGTATAATGGGGGGATGGAGATTAGCATATATGCAGGTTTGTGCGTACATGTAAGCAAAGCCCATTTTATGATACTGAAGTCCTTGTGTCAATCTCTCAATAAGACCTTTTCTTCATACAACCCTCAGGTGAATCTTTTGTTTGTCCACTTTCATGGTATGATCCATATGTCAGTCTTTCAACTTACATTTTTCAGTATACTGTCCTCAAGTAGTTGAAGGGAGTCAGTAGTTGGGCCTTTTTTTCTTTCCTTTTGTAAATTCTGTGTGTACAGCTTACTTTTTCCTTACTCTAAATGACCGTTATTGTCTTGGTGTGGGTGGTTGTCGGGTGCTCTGGTGTGGTTTGCTCCTTCTTTCCTATAAAAAATCTATCATCTCTATCTCTCCTCCTTCTTTTTTGTGTTTGTTACTCTCTTGTAACACCACTAATCTTCAGCACTATTATGACCTTATTGTGTTACAAGTGCCGTAAAACACTTACTAAAACTGGCATACTGTCCTGAAGTAGTTGAAGGTAGTTACTGGTTGGTTCGTCTTTTCTTTCCTTCGGTAAATTCTGTGTGTATAGTTTACTTTTTCCTTACACTGAAAGACCATTATTGTCTTGATGTGCTCCTTCTTACTCAAAGCAATCATTATGCCAGTCTTTCGACTAACCCATGATTTTTCAGTCCTCACATTGGTTCATCACCCCCCCCCCCCCCCCCTTCCTCCTCCCACCCTCCTCAGAGTCCGTATGTGAACCAGTCCGCCATGAGTGTCCCCAGCAAGTTCTCCCTACACCGAGCCTACACCCTGCTCAGTGCCCTGGGACTGAGGCACTTGACCGTAGTGGACAAGGGAAATGAGGTCAGACTGTTTGTCTTGTCTGTGTGTGGATTTTGTAATGTCGTCGCCTCAGAACTATTTTATGCTTTGAGAACTAAAGTCATTTAAGTACACTTTAGACGATATAGTTCTAGGCGACGGTGTGTCTGTCATTGATGAATGGTTTGTGATTTTATTTGACCTTCTAGATGGAGCAAACAAGGATAGTTTGTCTGTCCATACTGTGATGTGTGTCTTTCCTTTATGATGACCGTTTGTAAGTTTAGCCATTTTTACATTGGTAAGTGTAAGTATGTGAAATCTTTAAGTTTGACACTTTATTCGTATGTTTGATCACATGTGTTTGAGTTTTGTGGGTTGTAAGTTTGTAAATTTATGAGTTTGTGGGATCATAAATTTGAAGAACTTTTGAGATTGTAAATGTATGAGTTTGTGAGTGTCCAAGTTTGTAAGTTTGTGAAATAGAAAGTTTATGTGATAATTGGTTGGTGAGTTTGTTTGGTTGTACATTTGACAGTTTGTGAGGTCAATAGTTTGTGAATTTGTAACATTTTAAATTTGTGGGTTTGTGAGATTATCATTTTGTGGGTTTGTGAGATTATCAGTTTGTGAATTTGTTTCAGTAATATTGTAAATTTATGAGTTCCCTAGTTTCTAGATTTGTGAGTTTCTTAATTTATTGATTTATAATCTTATATGTGGATGGGATTTAATTTTTGTAAGTTTATGACTTGCTAATTTTTGTCTGTTTGCTCTGTATTATACTTTTACAGTAAGTTTGTGAGGTTTTATATTCTTTAGTTTGTGAATTTATGAGTGTTAATGAGTTTATGAGATCTTAACTTTTGAAGTTAAGAGTGTTACTGTCTTTGAAAAGTGTATGCGATGTGCAACAGAGTGTGTGATTATGGGTGTGTATGTCGGTGAATATGTCTGTCTGTGGGTACATACAGCATCTTTGAGAGTGTTTGTTTTTGAGTGTGCGTGCCTGTTACTGTGTGTGCGGATCATTTTCTGTACCCTGTGTCTGTGTGTCAGTGTCTGTCAGTGAGTTGACCGCAGCCATTTGAACCCCCGGGCGCAGTGCTACTGACTGAAGTGTCTTTAGGCCATTCCCAAAGGATGGGATGTTAACCTGTTCTTATGTAGGTACAGTAGAATTGTAAATGGGCTGATTCATCTATGTCATACTCATAACTGTGCCTGAACTGCAACAGGGAACTGCTGCTTTTTCTTTCCTAATCCTTACTATCATAATTTTTCCTCTACTTCTTTTGTATGTTTGTCGCACTTTTGTGACCCGCTGTTTCCGGGGTGCCTTGATAGTCGAAGCAGACTTTGTGCTGTTGAAGCTAGAGAGGTGAGCAAAGTAAGCCTGATTCCCTGTAAAGACTTCTCTGTTGACATCCACCCCTTGGTGCTCATATGACCTTATGCAATTGCGAGCGCCATAAAACCTCTACTAAAACAAACAAACAAACAAGAGGTTAGCAGAGTAAGCCTGATTCCCTGTAAAGACTTCTCTGTTGACATCCACCCCTTGGCGCTCATATGACCTTATGCAGTTGTGAGCGCCGTAAAACCTCTACTAAACTAAACCAGCAGCCGTTGTGTCTCCCCAGGTGGTGGGAATCATCACCCGCAAGGACCTGATGGGTTTCAACATGGTGGACGTGCTGGGCACCATCATGCAGAACAGACCCGACTTCCAGGATCAGGATGGACAGAACGGAGGAAAGAATGGAGGAAGAGATGAAGAAACATATCTAGACAAGAGAGACGACGGGAGTGGTGGGGCAACTGCAGATGTTGGACAGTCGAGACAGAATGGACCGAATCTGCCGGCAGGCGCAACGGTTGAGCTGGGTAATGTGCCCTCGGATGTTATGTGTTGATAAGTTGTGTGCCCTTGGATGTAACATATTGAAGAATAGTGTGGCCTTCGATGGTTTGTGTTGATAAGTAGTGTGCTATTGGATGTTTCATGTTAATGGGTTGTGCATCTTTGAATGAAAGGTCTTGATGAGTTGTTTGTCTTTGGATGACATAAGTTGATGAGGAGTGAGCTCTTTAATGACACAGATTGGTCAGTAGTGTTCCCTTGGATGTTACATGTCAATGGGTGGTGTGTCTTTGGATGAAAGATGTTGATATAAGTATAGGTAGTGTGCTCTTCAGTTACACAGGTTAATGACTGTTGATGAGTAGTGTGTCTTTGAATAAAATATTTTGATGATTAGTGTGCTCTTGAGTGACACTGGTTGATGGAATAGTGTGCCCTTGGATGTAATATTTTGGTCAGTAGTGTGCTTGTGGATGTAGTGTGTTTAGGAGTAATATGCCTTTGGATGAATTGTGGTGATGAGCAGCAAGCTATCGGATATATACAACATGTTGATGGATAGTGCACCAGTGGATGTAACATGCTGTGAGTTGTTTGTCCTTGGATATAATGTGTTGAAAAATAGTGTGGGATCTGGGTCAACACTTTGCCCCCACAGGACGCCGATCGGAGACAGTAATAGCCAAATCCTTTTCCCCACGGGACGCCGATCAACGCAGGTGTGATATAGCATGTACCGCACCCGTATCCAAGGTTGATGGGTAATGTGCTCTTAGATGTGAGATGTAGATGAGTAGTGTGTCTCTGAATGTAACATGTTGATAAGTTGTGTGCGCATATTTGAGTGTAACATGTTGGTGAGTTGTCTATTATAATACTCCTTTGAATTTGTGCCAGTTTGAACACATGGTCAGTTATTGGGTAAAAGAAATCTTTATTATACATGTGAAAATATACAACTATATTTAAGTAGAGTATATTTATGAAATTATACAAGTTTGTGTTGCCAAAGGGTATATGCGATTAGTGTATGTGTTTTATATAACAGGGCATGCACAAAAATGTACTCTTATATTATATATGTATACTGTGATGCTCAATAGTACTTAACCTTATTTCAAAATATGAGGCACAATGGTATTCAAGTTTTAACCTTATAAAAGTTTGTTGAAAGTCTACAGTGTTCTATGAAACAAAGTGTAGGCTTCATGATGGTATACAATTTGGAATACCAAGGTGCATGTAGAACTGTACATTTTTTTTATAACTAGGTGTTCATGACAGCATAAAACGTTTTTTTATGAAGAAGTGCTTATGAATTTTTCGTGATGACGGGGTGTGCTTCAAAGTACAGTTTAGCACGGATAAGTCGAATACAGAAGACTCGAAATCACGCTTCCGTCGAACTGTGCCTGCGGTCTCGTTTTTTTTGTTGTTTTTTTTCTTTATCTTTGTAAGATATCCCTTGAACTATGGATCCCTTGAACTTCCGAAGCCGGTCCTGACTAATTCGAGCTATCCATGTTATAATGTTTACTGTTTTGAATTAAAACGGAGTAGACTTGACCAGCTTATGAACTGGGTTTATTTATCAATACAAAGAATATAAAAAATACACCTTCTTTTCATAGGCTATTTTTAATTTTAAGGTATATCTTTTGTATCATAATGGAAGAACATGAAAATGTTTACAATGTATTTCACATGCTCATGTGGTCAATTTTTATGTTAATGCTGTTTTACTTTCACTGAAGTCTTCCTCTTCTTCTTTGGAACTCCTTTGCCTGTGGTTATGTATATTTCTACCACATCCGGGGTTTTTTTTTCCATCAGGCGGCTTCATACAGCGTTGCATTCAGCTACATTCCCTACTCTAGTAGTAGTAGTAGTGTCCCTTGGGGAACTTATCTCATTGCATTCCCAACCTAAGGTGAAAAGTGGTCAAATTCTTTTCCTGAATATTTGACCCGAGGCCTTTCCCGCAAAGCGAAACTCAAATACTTTTCCTGAAAATATGAGTCCAGTTCTTTTCCTCTCGAACAGATATATCTACTACTACTTCAGAGAACAAAATTCAAGTACTTTGACAGGGACTATACCTTGAGTACTTTTTTAGGGGACTGTTGCTGAGACTAGATGTCAAATATTTTTTTGTGGAGAATACTCAAGTACTTCTACTGGAGAAGAACTCTGTTCGTTGTGCAGCCTGGAACTAAATTTTACTCCTCTAGAAATAAGTCAACAAAGTAACTAACTGCAATGATATTTTATTTTTAAGGTAAATGTTACGCCCCTGTTGACACAGTTTAGTTCATTTTGGCTTCTGATCCTGCCTGTCGGGGCCGACCCGGACTGAGAGGAATACAACATACCAGCTGAAAGTAGACCGAGATTGCTTGATAAAAATTTCTCCCTACTCGGGAATCGAACTCAGGTCTCCTGCATGGGACAGCAAACTGCCTTACCAGTACTGCTCAAAAGATGTTGTAAGGATATTGTGCCCAGAAATATTTCTTAAGTTTTCCTTGTTACAGCTGATTCGATTTACTCCAGCACCATAGCCAAAAGATATTTCAAATGTAAAAATATCTTCAGAAGGTGCTATCAGCAGATGGATATAAAAATATAATCACCAGATGATATTTGCTGAAAATTATCATTGTTAGGTGATAGAACTGTACTTGCGAGAGAGTGTTGTTATTTTTTTTTTTTATATTGCTTTTCGATGGAGTACACAAAAATATGGATGATTGAATTGTTTGAAAAATAACACTGATGATAACATGGTGAAAATGTTATCACTAGATGAATGTGATGTTGTTGTTTTGTTATCCCTTTTTCCCAATATAAAAATTTCAAAAACTATATCTCTGGATGAAATTAGTTTGAAAATATTGTCTTCATCAAATAAAAAACCTACTATCAATGCACGAAATAATTTTTCAAAGTTGTGTTAAGGAATAATGTGGAAGTAAAACTATTTTCTGAATTAATTTATCAAAATATTTTATCTTGATGAGATATAAAAAAATACTCTCACTGAATAAAATCGTTGCAAAACAACTCCAGACTGAAAACTGTCTCTGGCTGCTAATTAGTAAAATGATCTAGTCTTACTAAATTGTTTAATAATGATGTGCAATATAACTTTGCCTTCTTCATGATTACTTATATTCTTCTTACCTCAATTATTGTTTCATGACATTCCATGTTCTAATGATTCCATTGATCCATTAATGAGTATGTTTATTGAAAACTGGAAAAATAAGTAACTCCATTTGATCTACATTTTCCTGGAAAGTACTGTCATCAGAGTTACTCATTTTTCTTGTGACTGGGATGATATGTGTGTATTAAATATTTATTAGTGTTAACACATGGTCAGTTTTGGGGATTGTGAAGTTATTTGAATAATCTTAAAGCTTGTTCATTTGTCTTGCTTTTTATGAAAAAATACCATCTACATGTATCTTGAATAGAAGTCAAGATTATTTTAATGATTGGAGAAGACGGGGGTCTACCTGGTGTCAGAGGTAAAATTTGCTAGAAAATGGCAGCCAAACTTTGATGACTTTCAGAGCTGAGTGCCCTTGGAAACTGCAAATTTACATTTAAATGCCTTTGGTCAACAAATGTCTGTGAAATCCACACAAAAATATGTTTTTAATTAGACGTAAAAGGTGTTGGGCCAAAAATAATTAAATGCTGATAAAAATTGCCCTTGGCCGACCACCTGAAAAATGGAGATTTCTTCGATTCCATTATTTTGACATACGCCTGATTTCACCTCAATGCCACTCATGTGTGTGTGTTAAATGTGTGGTTCAACATAAACTTCAATAAAGATTTAAATTTTATAAAGTACTTGCCTTGTTCCAGAGTGATTATGTTGGACTGCTGCTAGTTTGTAATATGTACCCCGAAATTTCGTCATCTGACTCTAGGGGGTCCACTGACTTTGGGCTCACTTTTTTAGTTTTAAAGATAGGTCAAAATCCTTTCATAGATCCCCAGTTTATATAGGTTTGTACTTGTGTGCCAAATTTCAGGCTTATAATTCACTATTTACTATGAAATTCTTCTGCACTAAGAAACTGGTTTGAAAATCCAAGATGGCCGCCACAGAGACCCATTTTTTTGAAAAATTCAACAAATTCACCCTTAGTACATCCTATTTACCTATGAACTTCTTGCACAATTACTTGAAATTGAATAAAAGTCATTCGTTTAGAAAAATTTTCCGGGAGTGTACGTCTCCCCTTAAAGATGTGCCTGTGTCCTGGCGATTCGTTCTTTACACCCTACAGTAAATTGAAATCATGCTCAGTTTTGCCGCGTATCTTTTTTTTTTCAACTTCACTTCAGAGTGTAGGCGAGTGCTCTGGTGTGATCTGCTCCTTCTTTCCTATCAAACGTCTATGTGTATCATCCTTATCACTCCTCCTTCTTTTTTGTGTTTGTTACTCTCTTGTAACACTTCTTATCTTCGGCACTTATATGACCTTATTGTGTTGCTAGTGCCGTAAAACTGTTACTAAAAAACTTCAGAGTGTTGAAATGGAGCATACGATCCTCCTTGTTTTTCATCACGACTCAGTCAGTTTTGGTAACTGTCTCATTCATATTTCATTCAACCCTTAGTCATCAACCATCGGACAACATCGATGACCGGGTAGCCAACTCACTCCATCCCTCTTTCGTTTCTGATTTCTCCTGTGTTTTGCTCAGCTTCAGGCTGACTGTGTGATGTTGTGCTTTTTTCTCTATCTCTTTCTACCTCTTCTGCGCTTTCTTTCCGTCATGTGTCCTGCAGGATTTCTGTGCCAATTGCTCGTAATCATGAGATTTGTGTTTCTTCTCTCTACCAAGTAATTAGTTTTAGTAAACGTTTTACGGCACTTGCAACACAAAGTGGGTGGTTGGAGGGCGCTAGTTCCTGGTTGGTCCTACTTCTTTTCTCCCTCTCTGTTGTTTCTGTCTATCTGTCGTACTGTTTCCTATCACTAATAGACCATTATTGTGTCGAGGTGCTTCTCTTTTTTCAAGCTCAAACTCAAATAGGTCGTAGGCCTATACTATAACTGCTGGAGATCAGAGATGTTACCCAAGACTTGGGTGTTACTAGAGAGTAATGTACAAAAACAAAAATAGAGGAGAGATAAGGACAATGGATATTTTTTTTATAGGAAAGAAGGAGCAAACCACACGAGAGCACCCTTCAACCACCCACACACTCCAATTAGGAGGTCTTCATAGGGCCCATACTGGCTCACTTGACTGTTTTTTAATTCACCACAAGCAAAGCTGGAAAAAGAAGTGTGAAAATTTTGGACTGCTTGTTGGAGTAGAATTGGGGCAATTGTATATATATATATATATATATATATATTCAGTACTACAGTAAAGTGAAAGTACCTTTTCAAGTATATTACTCAAGAAAACAAGACAAGTAACCAGGAACTATAAAAACATTTTTGTGGGGATTGTGAGCATTAAATATTTTTGACTTAACAAAATATTTTTTTAAAGTTCATAGTTACTTTTCTCTCGCACCTTTTTAGATAGATATCTTGTTGGGGTTCTCTGTGAAAACGGTCAACAGAAAGAGCGAATTAAAAAGAAAAGGTCTTACATACGGCAAGATCAGTATTCATCATTCTCAGGAATATATGGATGTCTAAGGAACTGGGATTGAACACCAAGCTGAGGATCTTCAAAACAAACGTAAAGACTGTTCTACTGTACGGCTCAGAGACATGGAGGCTCACAGCATCAGCTGCAAGGAAACTGCAGAGCTTCGTAAATGGATGTCTACGGAGGATAGTTGGGATCAAGTGGTACGATCGAGTCACTAATGCACAACTGTGGGAAAGAACAAGCCAAAGGCCAGTAAAGGAAGACATATAGGTGAAGAAATGGATTGGACACACCCTGAGGAGACCCCCGACAAGCATCATCAGGCAGGCTTTAACGTGGAACCCACAAGGAAAACGTAAGAAGGGAAGACCAAAGATGACACGGAGGCGAGCGGTACAAGCGGAAATTGAAAAAGCGGGGACATCATGGAAACAGATAGAAAAAAGGATGCTCAGGACAGGCTTCGCTGGAGTAATGCTGTTGATGGCCTGTGCTCCACTGTGAGTTAAAAAGGGCAAGAGAGAGAGAAGCAATGATTCTTTTAACATTACCTCAAAGTGTGCAAACCAGTTTGGAAATTTTTCATAAGTTTCCTTAAACAGGAAGTTCAGATCCCTCAAAAGCTTTGAAGCGTATAGAATTGTTAGACTATATTATTGTGTCAGTTTGGCCATGAGAAAAATATTCCTTTGAAACACCAGCTGCAGCATGCTGAAAGGGTTGAGGGTGGAGAAGAAATAACAAACAAGTTTTATTAGTAGAATGAGGAGCACTTTATAAAAAGCAATACGTGTCACGACGCGGTGGAATCAGGCACTTGTCAATTTTTGGGCATATGGAGTTATTGGCATCATCTCAAAGCCTGTTCGTTTGCCTTCCTTTTGGTGAAAAAATTATCCCTTTATGTTGAATAGAAGTCGAAATATTTGCGATTGAAGGAGGTCAGGGTCGCCTGGTTTCAGAGGTAAAATTAGCGAGAAAATGGCCGCCAAATTTTGGTAACTTCTAAAGCCTAAGAGTCTTTGAAAGCAGAAATTGTATATTTTTTGTGTGTGTCTTTAATCATTGTTTTTCAGAAAATCCACACAAAAATTTGTTTTTTAATGGACATAAAGAGTGTCGAGCCAAAAAAATTACCATTGGCCCAAAAATGCTGATTTCTTTGATTTCATGATTATGACGAGCGCCTGATTTCACCACGATGCCCCACATATTATGGGGGAAAATAATAGCCAGTCAGGCGAGACCAGAGCTCTGGTGAGGCTTCTGGGGGGAAATTGGGTCCTATTACAAGTATTAAAAGTAGCAAATCTTCGTTCAAAAGGCTCTCAAACTCTGCCCCACACACACAGCGCACAATGTTTGCTCTGTTGTAGCTAACAGCCTACGAATGTGTCCAACACACACACACACACACACACACACACACACACACACACACACACACACACACACACACACACACCGACAGGCATGACAACACTCCAATAAAACGTAGAAATAATCAATTCCTTCGGAAGTCAGTGGGAATTGGCTCTATATTGTGCCCCATTCTTGCTCTGAACTCCATGTTTGGGTTCCTGGTCGATATGTGGGAAACCCTCTTGCCTCTAGATCTAGTGCCAGTGCCAGAGGTAATCTAAAGAGAAAGTATGTAATATAAGTGGTAGTTACGTGTATAAGCTCTGAAGATGGTGGGCTGCAACAGCCTTTATATTATACTATTACTTTTTTAAAAGTGTTACTTGTTTATTTGTGTTGTTTGTACTCTTGTTATTTTGTTTGGGTTTTTTTATTTGTTTTATTTTGTTTTTTAGACCCTCGGGGGCTTTCTTGTTCTCTCAAAAGAAACCATCAAGCACTGGAAAGTCTTTCAGTCTGAGAGGGCGGCATATTTACGAAGTTCGAGTTTGTTTCTTAGATTATAGACCCAATGAATGGAAATGATAGCAGCTTACTTAACCTCCAACATCGGTTTGCCCCCCC